CATCAACAATGTGACTTCAGCCTCAAGCTCCTTTTTTACAAAATGTAACTCGTTTTGTACCGTGAACGTAAACGCAAGTTACCAAACATCCAGAAAGAAATAACAGGAGAAAACCCTCAGGGTCTCACCCAGGCAGAGGGATGCATTCTTTGCCATCAAATTGCCTGAACCCCAAAGGTAGAGCATTGACATACTAGACTCCATCAAAATTTAAATCGTTGCTTGTGAAGAACTAAAGAAAATGAAAAGACAAGCTACAAATTTAGGAAGCTTGTAGACAAACCTTACATGTCTCTGACCCATGTTGAAAAATAGAATGTTCAAAACTTCCAATTCAAAAGGTCAGCAATTGGACAGAAGACAGGAACAAGTAGTTTATAAGTGGTGAGGAAACACGGGGAAAGATGTTGGATACCACTGGTCCACAGGGAAATAAATAATATCACAGTGCGATAACATTACACATCTATCAGTGGCTAAAGGGAGAGAATATTGTTAAATTCAAATGCTGTTGAATTTTGAGCAGAAAAACTTGCCCTATCAAAAGTGGATAGAGCCCATGGCCCTGCTGGCAATGGGAAACTACAGCCACTCTAGAAAAGAGTTTGGAAATGTCTTTTACACTTAGCATGTGCCCCTGTACTACCCTCCTTCATGTGGGTCTCGGTCAATGGAAAGCCTGTATCTGCAACAAAAAGCTATGCGAGAATGTTTGTGACCGCTATCTTTGTAATAGCCCACAGGTGTCATTAGCCCTGCTCGGAATGAAGAACCAGACGAGTGGCAGTCAGAGACAAAGACAGGTAGTGGCACAGGTATAAAAGGGCATTGAACGGCTCTGTTGCTTAATGAAATCACATGAATCTATACCTGTGTTAAAACTGCTAGGAATAACACAACAGTGAATGCACGTGAATTCTGGTGAAACTGAGTCAGGTCTATAGTCTAGTTAGCACTTATCATAGGTCTGTAGCCCAGTAAGCAGTATTGTCGTCAGTGTGTTAATTTGGAAGTAGTACTTACACAATAAAGGCTTCCTTGTTGGGAAAACTGGTTGAAGAGTACATGGCGCTGTACCATTTTTGCAACTTCCTGTGTGCATAATTGCACAATAAAAAGTTACAAGTATTAATCAAAACAAAACAAAAATGGATCCATGAAATCCAAGTGACTTCTCTTTATTTTATAGGGGAGACACCGAGGCACCAAGGGGTGCAACCGTCTTCCCAAGGGCCCACTTTGTTCAGCAGCCGGTGTGGTAGTTGGACCACTGTCTGATTAGCCTTGAGAAGTAGGCCTGGGGAAGGCTTTTGCCTCTGTCTGTGCTCTAATCTGTAATGCCTGCCAACTCCGACCTGGGGGCACTAACATTCAGCCCAGCCTGCGCATTCGTCCAGTAGTTCCCCAAACCCTAAAAATGGCTTGATGTCATTTAGGCAAGAGAAGACACACCCTTTTGTGGCCGTCCTTGCTAGTGATTTGTTAGTTCCTGTGCCTCCTGGAGTTGCTTCTGGGCTTTCACTTGAGATCTAGTCACCACATATTCTTATAATGATCACTTCAGAGCGAAAGAAATCTTCCAGCATCTACTCCATAGCCCTTATTTTGCATATGCACTCACTGCACTCACTCAATCTCATACACTTTTGTACTTTATTATATTTCTTTGTTTTTTGGGAAAATGTTTTTGTTTTGTTTCAAGGTTGGAACCACAACTGGAACAGCTCCAAACAAAATACAAAGAGCTTAAGGAGCGAAAATCTTCCCTTACAAGTGCAGCATCCTTCTTGTCTGGCTTACAGCAGCTTCATCAGGATTATTCAGCTGTTCCAGAAAAAGAACCAGACACCGCACAAATGGTCAGTGCTTTTACTGGGCTGCAGGGGTAGATGTTGCTCCCCGTAAGCAGCACCATTGTACCCCAGGGTTACAGCCGTGCTGTTTTAGCTACTTATGGAGACTAGACGGGGCTAGAGAACCGCCCGGAATCAGTGGTGGTACGTTCTCATCATAACCGTGCTGAGGCCACTTCTGAAGTGAACTCTGACCTCTCTCACTCCTTGTCTAGTCCGTGCTAGACAAGGGCTCGAGCACCTCCGAAAAACAAGCTGGTGAGCCATCGGTGGCGGGTGCAGTTGTAGAAGTTGAGAAGTCCAGTTGAAAGGCATATAGTACCGGGAAATGTGACGTATTACTTTAATCTAGTTGCTTCTGGATTAATCCTACAGCCGCTGTTGCCCCTGTGGCATCCAGCATAGATTGAGAGAGATTTAGCAATTGGAAAAAATGATACATACTTAACACATTTTAATATTGTCATAAATGTCACATATGTGCAAATGCCCTGCTGCTAACCAAGAGGCAGGCAGTTTGAACTGGGAGAGAAGACTGGCGGTCTGCTCGGTGAAGACTGCAGCCTAGAAGCCCTGGGGCGGCTCTGCGGGTCGTCCCGGGTGGCTGTGATCCCGCACACATAAACCGCAGTGTGATGCTATAGACATTCACACATGGACACATCCCTGCAGCTGTTTCTCCACTCCCAACCTCAACTTTACGCTTTTGACGTCACCCTGGAAATTTAGCCTCTTAAGCAGACGAGAACTGGAAATAAAAATGTTTTTTAAAGTTTATTTTTTCAATATGATACTGCCCAACTAGTCCAGCATTATTGAAAAGGGGATTTTGGATGACTCTTTTTGTAATGGATGACAATCTTGTAATGAGTTGAGAGTAGCACTGATTGAATTTGCAAATAACAACTTTGGTAAATACCACACACATACTGCACCTATTTTGTTTAGAATCCACTACCTCTTCCTAATGTCTGCTCTTTGCCTTGTTGTGCTGCTAATGTAGCAACCTTCCCATTTGCCTCACAGAGTCTGTGTGTGGTGTTTGGGTGTCCTGAACTACAAACGTTAGTTCTCCTTGGCCCTTCCAGAGAACAGATGTCCAATGGCTCTCAAATGGTTCTGAAAAGTGAATTGTGTAGCATCCCCTTACATGGGTGATAGTCCTAGTCTGGCAAACATTTACAAACATGTGCAGCATGATACCGTTTGTTACGAGGAGAGCTGTAAAACAGTCACCCTTCAGCCACAGGGTGCAATAGGAAGGAATGAAAGGAGCTGCAGGAAGGTCAGCTTTGTTAATGATTCCAAAACCAAGAATCAGATTTGGCTTTCCACATCCATTGGGCTTATATTGTCATTTTTGTCTTTTAATCCCACCATGGCACGGGTAACCTGTAAGACAGTGAAATGATCTCCACAGTAAACAATTTTCCTCCATGATGGGCTTTTTGTCTTTAAACCTAATGTTCTATTCTCCCTGCTCTATCAGGAAGAGCAAACCTGCTGTATGCTTTGGTTTCAAAACAGCTGAGGTGAGCAGACCTCACACTCTAACCCACTGTCTGTCGCAGGAAAGGCTTGCTCTTTAACTAACTCCGATGCCACAGTTCTTCCAGCCAGCTGACCCGCGTTGAGAAGACCAACGTGGCTGTGCAGAACAGGTCCCACCACATCTGTATATGATCAGTTTTGTCCTAAGAAAAATAGATGACAACTAGTTTTCACAATGGTCATCATTTAAACAGAAGCGCTAATGAACCATAAGATTCTGCTGCTTAGAAGACATACTGTGGGTGCTAATCTAAACAGAATGCTTTCCTCCCCACAGTATGATGCATCAAGCCTCCCGGCTCTGTTAATGAAGGCACGGGGTCTTTTGGGAGCTGAAACTCACCTGCGGAATATTAACCATCAGTTAGAGACGCTCCTTGGTCAGGAATGAGACCGTCTACTGGACTGTCCCTGTACAGAGACCCGCCTCATGCCACTGTCAGCCTTCTGAAACTCTTACTTGTAAATAAAATTCTTTTTTAATTAAAGGGGGCTGTACGTTCTTATTTCTGTTTTTCCACACAAGATTGGGAAAACACAAACTATACTAATGTTAGTTTCAATGGAACATTTTATTGTTAAAACAACACCGAGATAGGTGAAAATACACTTGTCTGCTTGTTCAGGTTGGATATCTGGTTTAGTCACCAGAGTATAAGATATTGTCATCAAATCAAATAAGCGGCATCAGTTTGATTGTATAGTTTGTGTCATATGCATTTCTAGCTATTGAGTAATAAGTTATAAAATGTTAATACCTTATTCTAATTACCTCCAGCCATGCTTTAAACTATATATCAAATAGATGTGAAGATAGACTAATTCCGGTATATCAGTGGAGATTTTTATTTACACCAAAGTGAATTTTTAATAAAAATAGTTTACATAAGTTTAAAAAGATACATATATATAGCTGAACAGCAATGTGATAAAACTTAGTTCATATAAATAGGTTTAAGTTAATTTAATGTTTACATTATAAAATCCAACAATGTTCAGGCAAGTTAAAACCTAGTTATAGAAGCATCCATCTAGAAAGTGTCCACAGCTACTCCTGTACTATTTCCTGAAGTAGTTCATCAGGAATTTCATCTATCCCACTGTTGTAACGCAGAAGACTATTCTCTGTTGCTTCAACCAATTCAGCATCTTCAGTGGCTTCTAAAAAACCGGCATCGTCAATGCCATTATCCCAGTCATCAATGGAAGGCACACCCTTTGATAACTTGCTAGTTGGTGGCTTATGAGGATTCTCAGTTTCACTGTTCTTGACTTCAGCTGTCGTGAATTCCTCTTCCTTTGTTCCATGGGGGAATAAGCGAAGGTGGCAGAAGGAAAAGGTAACAGTTAGAAAACGTGGTTTCACCCTATACTCTGGGTTGAGGCTTTCCACCGGAGTAAAGAGTTACAGCTGTAGCAACCCATGGATCAGTCCTACCCTGTCCTAGAGTGGCCATGAGAACTGACTTGATGGCACTGAGTTTGTTTTTGGTATTGAAGTAAGATGGCGAGTAAAAAGGCCAGTTCTTTGACAGGTTTTAAAATGCCTGCACTGAATGAGTACAGTGTCTCCAATGTCGCAAACCATGAGGACAAGCCCACCCATCCAACTGTTGCTGGCCCTGCAGCTCAGGTACTTTTGAAATGACAAAATGGTAACTTAAGAATAAATGGATATTCATTATACTGTTCTTTTTAAATGTTTGAAATTTTAGATGTCTAACCAATGATAATAAACTTCCACTGACACTTAAAATGAACAAGGAGGAAAAGACAAAAAGTGTTTTTTCCTCCAAAGGTTTTTTTCATCAGTTCTTGGTTATTTCAAAAGACTTTTTTTTCCTTAAATGTATTAGTTTATCATAGAATCTGACTTAGCTATATTATCGCCAGCATAGACAGAACTGAGATTTTCACCCTTTCTCACTTGGATATTTAAGAGTCAGTAGACTGTGTATAATCAGATAAGACCAGTACCACACCATTGAACAGAATGTAAGTTCAAGGACTTGTTCAGCTAGTAGCAGGTGACTTTTAGTCCAAATATAACACTAAGGAAAAAGCCTGATAGCCGTGAACGCCCCCCCACCTCCCCCC